ACAACTTATATTGATGTCGACTTTGAAATGATAGAATAATGGAAATAAATAAGAACTTTTTTATAATACAGGGTGAATTCTGAGTGTGGTGTTATCGCATGACCTTGAGCTTCATTTATTTCCGTTTCTCCCAACCAGTTTCTTACGTAGGTAACTACTCAAGTATATACATTTCCCACCCAGAAATATATGTATATATGCAAATTGCATCAATATTTCAATCTGATAGGAATTATACCGGGTGATCTCACTGCAGTAATATTTTGAAAATGTTGGCTTGCGAGTCTGAGTAGGTATATTTCATCACAAGTGTAGGTTCCATACAGTTATTACTTTGAAGATAATTTACAAGAATGAAAAACTTTCTCCTTGAAATTTTACAATACTAAAAACAAAAGTAAGAATCGAATACGTATATATAAAGGCAACAGAGGCGTATGAGTTCACACTTCGATCATACAACAGACTTGTTGTTCGGAGAGTTCACCATTATCATTTCTTGGTAGGGATAATTTGAAGAAAACAAAAAGGAAACAACTTAGATAGCAGATATATGTATATTTCTAATATAGTATAGAAAAATGGGTCTTCATCAAACAAAATTGTTTCCGAGATTTTTTGCAACCCCTCGGTATAATAGAATTTGAAGTCATTACGTATACTTCAGAAAACTCGACAAAATATCCGATATTTTGATGAATAATTGTATAAGGGCCTACCTGAGTTGAATTCATTATAGTAAAAGTGAAGCAATCCCGTGCCTATATAAGCCTAGGGTCGTAATTCCATGAAAAGGGGGGTAATCACTTTGCTATAGGTATTCATATTCAACTCCGTTTAAAAATAGATAAGTAAAATATCGAATCAACAAAATATTCTTCGAAATAAAAACAACTAGGTACCCAAAAATAAGAGAAAGTTTAAAAGAAAACAGATGAAAATAACAAAACAGAAAAAATGAAAAACATTAAAAAAAACTTGTCCCGAATATTATTATAATTGTAAAATTGTTCGTTATTATGATTGGTTTATTGTATCTTCTTCATCATACAATTTTCAAGTTTGAAACATATTTTATTTAATGTTCGAATTCTTTGTCTACTCATGGCCCAGACAGGCATCTGGAAAGAGATATTTTCCCTATACATGGTGTTATTGGTGTTCCGTAAAGACCACATCAAAATTAAGGAGAATGTATACATTATATCAAAGGGTACCTAACACTCTACGTGCTATGCTCCTCTCAGTACCTATAGTTTTGCCTGTGTTGTTGGTAACATTTCACATTCATTTTTTTTAGAACAACTTATTCAGTGAAATATAAGTGTGAATAATTATTCCAACTCATACTATATATAAATATAAACGATAAAAAACATAAAATATATATTCCTAAACAATAATGAGTACCAATAATGAATTGGAATAAAATTATTGTATATATATAGGCTTGATTTTGAAGCTACATTAAATTTGTTCATCAAGAAAAATATCTTACCCTTTGAACTACATTCTCATTCAGTTTGACGACGTCATCGTGCTTACGCGAGTCGAACTTTTTCGAATTTATTCTAAGCAGGGTTTGATAAATCATTCAATTTGTGTTGAAACTCTATGATTTCGTGAAAACTGTTCGGATCGCGGGTATTGAGCTCTTCTTTTATCAATTTTTTTTAGTTGATATTCTATACCGTAGGTGGGCCATCCGGTATTAAAAACCAAACCAGTATCCATAGTCGAGACTTACGAAAGTAAAAGTTGTCTTGGTTACTTCATTGCCACCTTGCAAATAATGCTAAAGGCACAAGTGCGAATAACAGATCTGGTGTAGTAATAATGGACAGTACTATAATAGCTATCACCTCTACTCATTCCAAGAACGAAATTGGTAGTTGTAAAACTGACAGACGTATTAATCATCAGCGTTAATAGGTACTGTTTATGATGAGCAAAAGTTTCATTGCCGCGGGCAGAGGCAATCTTCAGAGAACCCGCCTATATCGGGGCATGAAGATGTGTTGAAATAATGAATCGATATACCAAGTGGTATTTGCAATAATCAAGAGTTCATATCATAAATAAATGCAGGTGTTCCGCGAGGATCAATTCTAGCACCAACACTATTTCTACTCCAAATCAACGATTTGTTGGAAGCAACTTCATATCCAGTACACAGCTTCGCGGATGATAGTACCTCCCATACCGCCTTCTCTTCCAGGGTTCCAATACCAGCCAGGCAAATCAGAAACGAACGAGGGAGAAATATTGACAACATAAATATGGACTTGGCAACAATTCTCGAATGGGGATCCAATAAATTGGTAGATTTCAATGCAAACAAAACACAAGCATATGCCTTTTCTCTAGAAAAGCCGATCTCAATGTGCCCAACATAAACCTGTCAAGAGTAACCATACCTTTACAAAGTCACACTTATGTGGGTTCCAGGGCATGAAGGAATCAAAGGAAATGAGGCAGCTGATCGCCTTGCAAAAGGTGCAGCATCTGCACTTTTTGGTCCTGAGCCTTTTTGTGGGATAAGCAAATGTCACCTAAAGGAAGAACTCGGGAAATGGGAAGAAATTGAAAAGTCCTCCTACTGGAGAGCAACTCCAGGTCAACGACAAGCAAAAAGGTTCGATCAACCATTCGCAGAACCGAGCCAAAGAGCTACTCAGCCTCAGCAAACCAGAGCTAAAGCTTATCACAGGCTTTCTCACAGGACACGGCCCTCTGAGGTACCACCTCAAAAAGATGGGTCTGGCGGAGACTGACACTTGCCGCTTTTGTAACAATGCGACCGAAACCGCGGAACACATACTTTGCTCATGTGAAGTGTTAGTACGCCAAAGGCTGAACCACCTAGACTAGAACAGGTCTATATCACCCCTGCTGAAGTGGAAAAGTCAACCGTCAGGAAAATCGTAGGCTGCATCAGAAGTCTAGGGTTAGATAGGGGTAATCAAAATAGATCTTCTAGGTCGCAGTGATCGAGAGGTCTCCCAGCCTATACGACCCATCTACAATCTACAACCATACCTTTGAAGACATCCATTTCAATGCTTGGTATTACTATCAGCAATAACCTTTCTTGGGAAAATCACGTGAGACCTATTGCTAAAAGTGCATCCCAAATACATGGTTTTCTGTTTCGGGCCAGAAGCTATTTCACTTCCAGTCAGCTGCTTATGATCTATAAGGCACAGATCCGACCTGTCCTGGAATACTGTTTCCATATTTGGAGTGCAGCACCCAAACATACCCTGAAACTGTTGGATTCTGTCCAAAAACGGGCAATTCGTCTCGTGGGATATTTTATAGATATTTTCATGGACAATGCTCTTCTGAAATATCAACAATTGTTCCTCCCTTGGCAGTTCCCGCGAGATTAACCCGTCGAGTTGAGGTTTCGCACCCCTTCGTGGTCACTTTGGAGACCTGCAGAACATCTCTTTCCAAAGACTCGTTCATCCAACGAACAGCGAGGCTCTGGAACACATTGCCAAGGGAGGTGTTCCCCGAGGCATATATAAATTTATTCATGAAGAACACCAATTCCTACCTTATTTCCCTTGGTTTTCACGATGTTCTCTGAACATTACAGGATATCCCTTTTTGTGGGAACCAGAACATAAAAAAATATATATCCAACTCATCTAAAATATGCATTATTTATAGTTCACATAACAATTTTGATAAGGAGTACCTAGCCAGAGCTAGCCAGAGCCAGAGTAAAACCCAGAAACTATCAGAAATTTGAAATGTGGAGGTATTGAATTGGAAGTACCAACCAATCGACAAGATTCGCAAAAAATAAACACTGGGACAGAGTAACATTTTTAGATTCACACTTTTGTCCATGCATCTGATGATTCACATAGGTATCAGATAACAAAAAAATATTTCCATTTCCATTCTACGAACTAGATCAAACATATTATGTTGCCTGTATGCCATTTACAAAAAGAACTGAGGAAAGGAGGATGGAAAAAACAACGTTGCCTAAAAACCATTAGTCATATTGGCAACTCAGTTCCAGAACTGATACAATTTTCCACCTTCAAAGAATATACCTAATATGTCGTTGCCAACCTGGATATTCACGAAACAGTAGAGAATTATTGGAGTCATACGTGACTTTATTCAACAAATCACTGAAGAAACAGCTTTAATATGTCACTTTCACGTATTCTGTTTATTCCACTCTTTGGTCAGTATAATTATTGTGATCCATTATTTTTATTCAATCTTATTTGAAACGTTCTCTTTTTCAGTTCTACGGTTCTTCTATGATCCTAGATCTACCTTTCATATATCAATATCACAATTGCGTTTTGATAGTATATTGTATGAATATAAGCTGCATAAGATTGAGCCGTTTGAGCAGTTTGATCAGCATATCTACAGATCATCTTCGCGCAGGCTTCGAAATAGTTATAATTTTGTAAGAAAGGTTCTTTTGTGAAAAATTGTACTTATCAATCTCATATAATATAGTCATTATTAAGATTTTTGTGGAGTTCGTATCTTTTTGGGTGCTAGTCGAGAAACCTGTTCGTATGCTATGTAGAGTCGCAACTAACAAGTTTTTAAGTCTCTGACAAAGTACATGTTCGGCAGTATCGTTTAATTAAGCTTACTGAATCGCAAAATTTGCATTGGCTGCTAAACATGCGCGCTCTCCTGAACGCAATTATATAAATCCTTCTTCCTTATCGTCTCTGTAAACTTATATAGGTAGGTACTAATCACATATTAGGAAGATTAGTGGCTTAATTACCCGTAACTTTTTCCACCTAAATGAGAGCATGTTTTGTATAAGTATTTCGGATTGTTCATTTACCTTGTGTATAAATATCTCATAGGTATCTTCATATACCTATTATGATCTCTATCAGAAATTGATTTCCGTTCCTGACGATGTAATAGACACGCTTGAAGCTCACGAGTCTTCAATAAACTCTTTCGACATCTAATTGTTTTTGTTTTTTTCGTTTCAGGAGGATGAAGAGGCCGTCAGGCCTTTGGATACTGTTATCTGCAGGTGAGTGTCGAGATTTTATCACACGAATTCCGGTCGCCATTGTTCGGGTGAATTCTTTGAATGCAAGGCGAGGTGAAGATTGGATTGAAAATAAAACACAATAACTTTATTGATGGCATGATGGCAGCGAATAGATAATATATAGTCGGTGTAACGCACTCACTACATCGCGGAGAAGTGTTTCAGGGTCGTTTACGACACGGGTCGTAAAAGAGGTTAATCTAATATTTTGACTTCTTGGGGTTTTACGTTTTACAGAGAATGGATGAATTATGGGAAAGTTCCTTGCGACATTGATGAGCATATGAGTTTGGTTTTTTCGTCTATCTAGAAAAGAATAGTTATTTAGGTATCAATAAGGGCGCAAAGTAGGTGTTTATGGCCTGCGGCGTGAATAATAGCTCGATGGTGTCAGCCGAGGGCCATTACAAGCTGAGGGATATAAAGACATTATACGCACGTGATATACATACAAAATTTTATGCAATAGTGGTGTATATCCAGAGATCAACTGAAGCATAATGTTTATGGAAAATTCACAAAAATCATCGTACGAATATTCGTATCGTAATAATGAATTGTCAAGCACGCAGAGCACGCTGATGGTTGTTGATGACTAGCAATGCATCCAAGAAACAAGCTGAATTGTCATCTCTTGGCTTGAAACTCAAGACAATCTCGAAGAAACTATACATATATGAAAATTTGAAAAGACGCATGATCGATTTTTCAGATGGGGCAATGAATTGATATGGAATATAATAAATTTGAGAACAGCGGGCGGTAAAGTTGCATATGGGGTTACACATCCTACGGTGGAATTGGAAATATTAATTGATTATTGTTGATACGCCAGTGTCGGTCTTGGAAAAAATACACATCAAACCCTAAGAAGGCTCATGGTGTAGGTACCATATCGAATGCCACCATTGAAAAAAATACCAATCAAAATAAGATTTGGCGCAAGACTCTCATCGAAATATAGTATGGCTAGTAGTTGAAATACCAACGTTTAAAGCGGTAAAACATCACTGAAACAATTAAAAGGAATACCAAAATCACTACTAACTACTATACAACAACTAAAAAGCAACTGCTAGACTCCACCACAATGGTTTGAAGAGAAACCTTCAGATAGCTGACACCCAGATAATTCAGAATACTGTTCCCACATATGAGGTTCAATACTCAAACATACTCTGATGCTCTTAGATTCCCATATGGACGGCAGAGTCCGATGCAGAGTTACTAGGATTCCATATATGTAGGTATATACTATCATTGGTATTACCTACTCTCAAGTATATTTTACTCATAGTTATTTGTAACGATAACGTTCATTATAAACAATATATTGATTCTATTTTAGTCATTTTCGTACGTCCTGTATACTTCGCTTATGTAATTTTCTTTATTGATCTTACTACCGTTTTATTGTTCAATCATATTACGAACTATTACAACACATCATTATACTAAGCTCATATGACACCAAATTTGTTTCATAATTATTGTTATCGACTGACTGAAGTAAAAGTCGACCTATTCGTTATGATACCAATCGACTGAAATGGAAAGTATATCACAATTTGGCTGTCAATTTATTCAGAGCAAGTATGGTAAGAAATACGTTTTGTCGAATGCTTTACTGGTCAGTACATAGAAGACAAAAAATTGCATTATTACTCAACAAAATTCAATGCAGTTAGTATATGTCTACCAAGCATATAGCATTTAATATCCAGTATCCGTCAGTAGATTTTATTGAAGGTTGAAAAAAAAACGTTGAATAGGTACCTATACCTCAGAAACTTGGTATTGTAAGTGTTAAGTAGGAAAAGTAGGGAGATATTTCACGTGGTCAAAAAATTGGATCAAATGGTACAGTAATATCAAGTACCTATAAAGAGTTTCTTTACAAAGACCACTGAAGACTCCAATTCTTTCACGGCTCTTTCCGGTGGGGTTCTATGGGGTCGGACCACATTCTAAATAGGAAAGTCCATTCAGTCTTGGCGGCAACTCATGAAGTCCAAGTTCACCACTCCACCCCATAGATTGATCGAAAAGCAATGTTGAAAATTAGTTTGCTTCGTCACATGTGGATTTTCAACTGCCCAGTGGTGATAATTATGACGATTAAAAAATACCATTTCGAGTAAATGTTGTCTCACCAGTGAAAATAATTTCATTCAGGAAATTTGGATTGACTTCATGTTGACCTAGTATCCATTCACAGAATTGTATCCTTCGTGGATAATCTTCTGGCTGCAACGACTGCACACGCTGATAATGGAAGGGATGCTGCATGTCCTCATTCAAAGTCCGCCAGACAACTTTATTCGAAACCCCTAACTGACGACCAATGCCGCGGGTACTTGAGGTTGAATCGTTTTCAAATATGTCCAAAATTTGTTGTTCGATGTTTATAATTCTGACAGGTCTATTCATACCGGCATCTCTTCCTCTGTGAGTGAATATTTCACCTGTATCGCTGGCTTCTTGGCCAACATCGAGCTCATGAAATACCTGGAACATTCAGGTATTATCAACGATAGGCAATATATGGCTTCCGTCATCAGAGATCAACTGGTGACCTGCTCGCTTATGTTTCACATATATGGCAGCAATCTATTAAAAAATATGGTGAAACTTTAGCCGTGGCACTTGATATCTCCAAGGCATTCGATCGAGTCTGGCACCACGGACTCCTCGCCAAGCTTCCATCTTATGGCTTGCCTCCCCAGCTATGTTCTCTGCTAGCTAGTTTTCTCTCAAACAGGTCTCTCCATGTAGTGGTCGACGGAGTTTCATCTGACTCTCTTATCATAAATGCTGGTGTTCCACTAGGATCAATATTCTAGCACCAACACTATTTCTACTCCATATCAACGATTTGTTGGAAGCAACTTCATGTCCAGTACACAGCTTCGCGGATGATAGTACCCTCCATACCGCCTTCTCTTCCAGGGCTCCAATACCAGCCAGGCGAATCAGAAACGAACGAGGGAGAAATGTTGACAACATAAATATAGACTTGGCAACAATTCTCGAATGGGGATCCAATAGCTTGGTAGATTTCAATGCAAACAAAACACAGGCATACCTCTTCTCTAGAAGAGCCGATCTCACTGTGCCAAACATAAGCTTGTCAGGAGTAACCATACCTTTGAAGACATCCATTTCGATGATTGGTATTACTATCAGCAACAACCTTTCTTGGGAAATTCACGTGAGATCAATTGCTAAAAGTGCATCCCAAAAACTTGGTTTTCTGTTTCGGGCCAGGAGCTTTTTCATTTCCAGTCAGCTGCTTATATCTCTTATAATACTGTTCCCATATTTGGAGTGCAGCACCCAAACATACCCTGAAACTGTTGGATTCTGTCCAAAAAAGTGGAATTCGTCTCGTGGGTGATGCCTCTTGCTCACAAACTCACTCACTTCTCTGGAACACCGTAGAAAAGTTGGCGATCTGGCTCTATTTTATAGATATTTTCATGGACGATGCTCTTCTGAAATATCAACAATTTATTTTTCCTCCCTTGGCAGTCCCCGCGAGATTAACCCGTCGAGTTGAGGCATCGCACCCCTTCGTGGTCACTTTAGAGATCTGCAGAACATCTCTTTTCAAAGACTCGTTCATCCAACGAACAGCGAGGCTCTGGAACACATTGCCAAGGGAGGTGTTCCCCGAGGCATATAACCTCCAGAAATTTAAGAAGAACACCGATTCCTACCTTATTCTCCTTGGTTCTCACGATGTTCTCTGAACATTACAGGATATCCCTTCTCGTGGAAACCAGAACATGAAAAAAAGTGCGACAAACCTGCGACCTAGACCTGAACCGTTGCCCCCCCTTCCAGGAATAAATCTTAATTACGCCACTGGCTCTTATTTTGATGTGTTCAAAGTTGAAAAAGATATGAACTATAGGCATCTACTCTGACGTTTTTTAGCCTTTTCATTGTTTGCTTGGAAGTGTCATAACGAAGTGCGTTTCCAAAGTTTTTCAGTATTTCAATAACAAAAAAATAAAGTAGCCAATGAACTTCACTAAGCATACTAGAACAAAAATTATGCAAGCAACTGCTCCAAGGAAGTATTAGGCTGGTGAAACCAGAAACCCTCAAGATATAATATAGGGTGTGTCCTTTTGAAAGGACGAACGCTGAAACTCCATGACCATGAAAGTAGATAAATGTTATGTGCAAATAATTAATAGTGACAAGCAATACTTGTATACCATATCGAAAATATTAGTTTATGCAAACAATATTAACAAATGAACAATAAAAAAATGTAAGGCAGGAACACTTTCAAATGCCTCACGTGTTCATCCACCTAGTTAAACGGTCGAGCTGGTGCACGAAGTGTATTACGGTTCGATCAAGTTTGATGTCGATGTAGGTGAAGGCTCATGGTCGTCAGTAGCGACATCACATCACAGATCATATCGTGAATTCTATAATATATTTATTCATTATAAACGGTTGATGAGCGATGAAAACATTCATTTCGATATGTTGAGACAGGTGGATAATATATTGTGACGCGTCTTTACCGATTTCGCGAACCGCTAACAGAAAACGTGCCAAGAATAATAAATGAACTTCACGTACACATTGAAATGTGCATATTTTTTGACTGACCATCTCGGTGTCATTTACTAGGTCTTGAATTATGTGTCTGATGGTAGTCATTCATAATTATGATAATAACCGTATACAGGGTGGAGAATTTAACTGGAATAAATTGGCTTCTGGGGAAGTGAAAGATTTTTCATAAAATTCGCGAGACACGTCAACGTTTAAATGTATTCACGTACATTTGGCGAGCAGTATGGAGAATATAACCCTTCAGGGTCATAATTCCAAAATATAGCTTTGAAAAAACTTTTAAAATAAGTATAACGAACAGAGAGGCATGGAAGGAAGGACCTCCTATCAATGCAGACATTGCTGTCTATACGGACGACTCCAAAACTGAGTTTGGATCA